GTGGCCTTGACAGCAACCTAACCTGAACATTTAGGTCAGCGTCCTTGCCACCTGGGCCTCCTGCCTGCCCAGTGTCCTGCTTCAATGTCAGCTGTTCCTGTGCCCATTCTATTGTCTCTTGTTGCTTTGTGGTGGAGCATAGCAGGGGCACAGGTTTGGGGGCTGGCCTGGGTTCACACAGAATGGAGCACCTTCCTGGAAACTTCCAGAAGAGGAGCCAAATGCCTCTGACCCTTGTGACCATGAAGTGGGATGATAGCTCAGGAGGTGGGCAGTTGACCAAAAGCAGGCTTTTCAAATGGGAGCCCCTGGCTTTCTCTGCTACTCTTGCTGCCTGTGAGTTGCTGTTGTTATTATCTCTGTTGAGAAGATGCCCTCATGGAGATAGAAGGAAACCATGCCTCCAGTGTGCAGCCCAGATCCCCATTGCCATACTCTATTCTGCTAAATGTCCCCAAATACCACACCCTGTCCCCTGCCTCCCTGTACCCAGCCCCATATCTACTTATGGCTCTATTTTTGGAAGAAATGAGCCCAGAATAGCCTTCTCTGTGTGTCCTGGGTCTGAGCAATTCCAGCCCCTTCTGGGTTGCCCTCTGGCTCCCAGGCCCTTCCCCTTCCAAGATAGGTAGTGCTGGGTGACCTCACAGACCATCAGCGTGGTAGTAGATGTGATGTCACGGGGTCTTTTTGGCTCCCAGACTTCCCAGATTCCAGACTTCCCTTGGGACAAGGGCAGAGAGTTCTGGCAGGCTAGAGCTGAGGGTTTGAGGAGTTCTGGACAGAATGTTCCTCTGGAGGCTGAGTCTGCATTCTGCACCCTCCTCCCTCTTGCCCCTGAGCCCTGGGCTCAGGCCGGGGCATCCCCAAGCCCAGCAGTTCCTTCCTCTGAACAGCCCACAGTTACATTTTTTTTCCCTCCCTCAACCTAGCCTCTGTGCAGGCCACCAATTCACTCTACCGCATGATTCCCAGGCAGGTGTCCCAGCCACCCAGTCTTCCAGGGCCTGCCGAGGCAGCAGGGAGGGGTAGCATGTGCAGAGAGAGGGAGAGGGCATGCGTGTCTGTTTTGGGGGAAACACTGAAGAAAGGATATGCAGCTTCCTTACCCACCCCGTGGTTCACAGCAAATTCAGGAAGTTCTCTGCTCTCTGATAGTACTCTCTCCCACTGCAGCCCATTTCCCCAGCTTCCTAGGGAAGTGCAGGGAAGCAGTCTGTTCCTACTGGTGACCTTAGGTGAGGTCTGCTGTAGCCAGCCTTTAGGGCTCCAGAAGCACCATTCACTGCTGAATGGGGCCAAGAAGATGTCTCAGTAGGCAGAGGGCTTGCTTGCTGTGCAAGCAAAGAGACCTGAGTTCAATCCCAGCCAAATCATGCCATCCCAGTTCAATCATGCCAAACAGGCACAGTGGCACTTGCCTGTATTTCCAGCACTGTGTGCTGACAGAAGGAGCCCTGGGGCTTGCTGGCCAGCCAACGTAGCCAAATCAGTGAGTCCTATGTTCATTGAGACCCATCTCAGAATAAGGTGGAGGGTGATAGGGGAAGACATGATGTTAATCTCTGGCCTCCACATACATGGACTCAAGTGAGTGCACACCCATACACACACAAACAGAATGAGAGACAGGGACTGAGAGAGCCTGTGAGGGGCACAGTTCAGATGCCAGCTCTCTCTACTTCTGGGCATTGCAGTCCTCCGCTGTTCACTTGTCTCATCTGTGAGATGAGTTAACACTCACTTCCCAGGATGCTTTGAGGGCTGGAACGAAAGCAGCAGAGCCTGGTCCCCAGTCTGTTGTGTGTCAAGCTGTCGTTCTTGCTTCAGCCTTGGGAAAAGGTGCCTCTAGATCATGGCTGGCAATGCAGGGGGACAGTGGAGGCAGCTAAGGTGCAATATGTGAGGAGGAATGGACAGATATACCGTGCAAAATGCAAGACAGGTGTGTGTTTGTCCTGGGGGAGGGGGTGTAACTTCAATTTCTAGTCCCGGGCTGGCAGAAGTTAGGGATCCTGTGTGAGGCCAGCATTGTCCTTGTTTAGACTCCATGTGTATCAGCCTTCCGCAGCTAACCTTGAGATGCCAGCTGACCCCAGGAGAGGGGCAGTGAACTGAATGTGGGGTTGGGCTCGGCAGTCCTCGGGCAGGTTGGGCCTCCCTTGCATTTTATTGAAGATATTGGCAGGTCTTCCATCCGCACCTCAGCTCCTGTCTGTGGAGCAGGGGGCAGGAGGAGGTGACGCTTCAAAGCCCTCTAGCAGTTTTCTTGAGAATGTAGTGTGCGTGTGTGTATGTCTGCATGTGGTGTAGAAAGGTCCTGACCTAAAACTGAACAAAGATGAAGGTAAAGGCTTTTATATGTCCAGAGGACCTGGGTTGCTGCTCAATCAATGCTGAGCATGGTGGGGTATCAGGAAAGAGAGCAAGGAGACTGTTCATGCCACAGGTGTTTTCTAAGGGCCCACAGTGTGCTGGACACTGTGCTCTGCTCAGCATGGGCATAGCTCATATTTCAGGGAGAGGCAGGCTCTAAAGGATGTTAGTAAATATAAAATAGAGAGTGTTGGGGAGCTGGGTGTTCTAAGAAGAAAGAGCAAGGAGTGGAGAGATGGCTCAACAATTAAGAACACTTGCTACTCTTGCAGAGGACCTGGGTTCAGTTCCTAGCACCCACTAGGTGACCAGTATCTTCAGTTCTAGGTGATCTGACACCCTCCTTGACCTCCACAGGAACTTGCACACAAATGTACCACTTGGGTGCATATACATACATTAAAAAAACCAACAGACCAACAAACCAACAAACCACCTTTTCCCCCCTAAGACTAAAATTCAGCCAGAGAGGGTTAGTGTGTGTGTGTGTGTACACACACGTGCTTGTACGTGTCTGTATGTGTGTGTATGTGTGCGTTCACCCATCTGTCTGTCTGCCTGTGTGCATGGAGGCTTGCATTTGAGGTGTAATCAGGGCAGTTCTCTGAGGCTGGTACTTCTGAGTCCCCAGCTGCCCCTGGGAGTTCCTGGGAGCTTCCCCACTGTGCCACCGTGCGCTTTGGGCAGCCTTAGCTGACTCTGCCTGCTTGGGTCCAGTCCTTGCCCTTCTTAAGACTGCTAGTGGTTAGTCCTAGAGAACTGTGGTCGAGGGGGTGCATGCTTGCTGGGCTGGGGTTATGAACTCTGGAGGCCAGTTTGGGTGTTTGGAAATTTTTAGCTCCTCAGGAGACATGTGGGACAGTGTGTTGAAGGCATCTGACTGCTGGTGAGCCTTGCCTGTGGCTGGCCTCCAGCTGGCAAGGGAAAGAAAGGGGTGGGGGCAGAGGGGACAGCACTCAGACGATCCCTGGCAGGAAGGGTGAATTTATTTCCCTTTGTTGAGGCCTGTAGTTCTCTACTAAATCTTAATGGCTCAGAGAAGACTGGTCAGGGGTCTGAGTAGGGTGGGGTGGGTTGGACCTTATGTTAACCCTGAGGTGAGAGGTTAAGCAGTAAGGGCTAGCCTGTGCTTAGAGCCAGGCCCTCCTTGTAGGGGATCTTTATTCCATTTGCTCAACATGCATTCCCTCAGGCAGCCATGCAGGTGGGCGTCAAGCACAGGCAACCTGCTTATGGTCAGCCTGCTAGTGAAGAGCAGAGTCGTGGTGTGGGCTGGGCTGTCTGCTCTTAAAGCCAGCCAGGACCCTGTTGGAAACACACACTTCTAGTTCCTGCAGCCTGTGATGACTCAGAGGTTTTAGGTTGGTGGGACACTCAGTGCCAGTAGCTTTTCAGGTGGTCACAGTCCCCTCTTGGAGTTGCAAATAGAGCTCTAGGAATGGTGTGTGTGGCCAGGTGAGCTTGGCCTAGGAAAAGGAAACTCCTATTCCTCATCATTCACTCTTGTAGACACTTTTAAGATGAAGCCCTTGTGTTGACTGGGGCAGAGGGAGGATGGCTGGGATGGTCCATCCATGCATGTTTATTGATGGCCCACTTCTGGTCCCTCTGGTTCCTGGCATGAGGGAGTTTCCACTGAGTTGATCGAAATGTTACTGTGATTACTTGGGATGAAGATAGACCAAGAATCCAAAATCAGGGCTGGAGAGATGGCTTAGCAGTTAAAAGACTATGTACTGTGCATGCAGGAGACCTGAGTTCAGTTCCCAGCACTCCTGTAGAATGGCTTACAGCCGCCTGTAAATCCAGTGCCAGAGATCTGATGCTACTGGCCTGTATGGGTGACTGTACTCCAGGGAACAAATCCACATACAGATATACACGCATGCACATAATCAAAAGAATAAAAACAAATCTTAAAAACCAAATTGACTTGTCGTTGGAAGAACACAGTGTATAGGGCCAGGTTAGACCATTCCTTAGGAAGGCACGGATGGGGAGGCGAAGGGGGTACCACATGGGGTATAATCAGAGCTTCCGAGAAGAGGGAGCCTACCAAGGAGGAGGAGAAGAAGAAGAAGACATGGTATGGGATGAATGTAGGAGTGTTCTCTGTCTGACTGTCTGTCTGTCTGTCTGTCTCTGTCTCTCTCTGTGTACCATAGGTACCAAGAGTAGGTCCAGCAAGTCACTGGAGAGTGGGACTTGGCCAGTATTTGGCAGGCTCTGACCCCAGGAACTCATGCTCTTGGGCTGCTCTTATTGTAACTTAGGTCTGTTTGCTGGGGCTGACAGGCTGTGATGGTCCCTGCCTCTCTTGGTTCTTGCCCTGGATAGACACAGTGGAGGTGAAAGCCCTGACTAGCTGGAGCAGGAGTGCTTTCTCCTGTTGTCCCCGTCTGAGGGGTCTGAGGCTTGCATGGCCCTTGGTCAGGTGGGACTGGATGGCTCTACTGTTAATAAGATTGTGTTTCATTTTGCAAATGCTGCTTCCCAGCTTGGGACTAGCCAAGTGATGGCTTGAAGCTTGGGCTTGTGTTCTTTTTAGCACCCTGACCACCAGCCTAGCAGGTGGCTGTGCCACTATCTCTGTGAAGCTCACACTATTTTCTCTTTGTCCCTAGCCCATCACCACAGAGAGCATACCCAAGAATGTAGTAGACGTGGTGAGTAACAACGGAGGCAACGTGAAGAAGCTGCTGCTGGGAGGAGGTTGATGGGAGGTGGATTTGGAGATGGGAGAAGGGTTGGAGCTTGAGGAAAGGTGCTAAATATTTCTACAAATGTGTAAACCTAGCATCCAGAAAGGTGAAGCAGGAAGGTTGTCCTGAGCTTTAGGTCAGCTTGAACTCTAGTGAGACCACTTTCAAAACTAAACAAGTCAAAACAAAAAAGAGGGAGGACTGGGGTAACCCTCAGTCATGGAGAGTGCCTGTGCAAGCATGGGCATCTGACCCCAGTCCCCAGAAACCACCTGGGGAAAAAAAAAAGCCCAGTGTGGTGGCACATGCTTGGAACAATGGTGCTGGGGAGGTAGAGGCAGGCGGACCCTGGGGTCTTGCTGGCTAGCCTAGTCTGTTTGACAAGTCCCTGGTTAGTGAGAGACCTTATCTCAAAGGCCAAACTTGTTTGAGAGGGTAGGGAGGGGGCAGGCCTGTCTGCTTTAGGAAAAGTGACTCACTGTTTGCAAAGGTAACCAACATACTTGTACACCTGCACACACAGACACATACGCACATTCACACACACTTGGCACACTCGCACAGAGAAGGCAGGGGAGAAGCAGGATACGAGAAAGCTGGGCAGACTTCCAACCTTTTGGACTATATGAGCAGAGGGTTTCCTTCAGGCTGGAAGAAGAGAATGAGAAGAATAGGGGCTTGAGGGGGCAGGGTGGCAATCTGAGGTGGGGAAACTGAGGCTAGAAGAGGTGTCTTATGGGAAGGGCTGGAGGTAAAGGCTCTACCTGCGAGACTTCAGGTGAGGGAGAGCCTGTTAGTTCCTCAGCTTCTCATCTTCAAATGGGGTAACAGGTGTCCCACGGGGTAGCCCAAAGGAGAGGCTTCCATTTGTCTGATAGACCTTTGACTAGACAAACATGTTTAAGTAACAAGTTTCCCTGCCTGGACCTTCTGCTACCCTTTTACCCTCCACCGTGACGCTGGCAGGTAGGACTTTCACTGTTCATCTTGCCCTCTCTCTGACAGTCTCTTCTCTGCCTACAGGGGGAAGGAGACTGCCGGGGTGGAAGCTCTCCGAAAAGCCTGGAGGAGGGCGTGAGTATGAGGAGGGCAGGGATCAAGACTAGCTCCAAAGGAGAATGAGCAGGAGGGGGCTGCCCTCAGACCTGACTTGTGACTATGCCTTTCTTCGTACCTCTCTTGGAGGAGGCCTGGCTGGCTTGGCCACAGTTCTGGGAACAGGGAAGGTCCACGAAGTCACTTGCTGGGCTCAGGCTTGGCCCTGGTCATCATCACGATGCAATGCCGTGGCAGTGCTGGGTAGGGAGGAGCAGAGAGGCAGATCTGAGAGCCAGGCTTGGTGGAGGGCAGGCTTGGAGGTAGTGAGGGAAAGACGGCTGAGGTGAAGGAGTCCTGGGCTTTTAAGGTGTTCCTAGGTCCTGGAGACATTGTTGGGGTTGCTTCCTTGGAGACAGGAGCGCTGTGTGGCTTTTTCTGCTTCTGATTCAGGACTCTGCAAGAGGTGTTGTCTAGTCCTGGCTCATTTTGTCCTCAGTTTTACAAGGGGAGTCAAAGCACACGTTTCTTATTCTGAAGGAACTCAGGCTAGGGCATAGGATCCCCTGATCTCTGTTGTGGGTAGCAGACCCCACAGAACACCCTTCACCTTCCTCAGGTCTTTTCTGCCCTTTGCCCCATGCTGGCCCCTCCGTCCACTGCAGGCCTGGAGAGGAACAGGGAGTGGTTTTGGCGGTTGGCACAAGGGGAGCTGTTGATGGCACGAGGCCCTATCATCTGACAGCTGCCTGGCTTCTGGTAGGGAGGGCCTCACAGGGAGGGGCTGAGCTGCAGAAGCTCCTGAGGGTGGCCCACCGACACTGCTATACCATCCTGGGACGCCATAGACCCAGCAATAAGGAGTGGAGCTATCTAGGGGTCATAAAGACTCCTAGGTTGGGGGAAAGCACCGTGGAGGGAGGTACGTGAGGATTCCTGTTCACTGGTACACTGAGGAAAAGGTTCAGGATGCTTTTGAGAATTTAGTTTTGTGGGTGTTATTGCAAAGGGTGAACTAGCTCGAGGCATTCCTGGCTTCGATGGGTGCTTAGTAAATGCTAGCGTGTATTATTACCATTATTTCTTTTTAGGGACTGGGAGCTAGGCTGGGAAATTGTATGCCTTTGTGACTGGGTGTGTGGCAGATGCTGTGGCTCCATGGTATAGACAGGGAAACAGAAGCTTGAGATAACCCTTGAGTGTCTCTGTTACGTGTCCTGCAGGCCTCTTAACCCTTAGCCAGGGGCTGAAGTGGTAGCCCCTGAATCATTACTTTCAGTTGATGTTCTGGCTGTGTTTAGAAGTTATGTCCCAGGATTTATGACTCCTCATTCCCAACCCTGGGCCATATGGGTCTATAAACTAGAGCCAAGCCAGGAGGAAGGTTAGACATATAGAAGAGCTTTTGACCCTAAGGGCATGTTTGACCTTGGTCTTAGGGAAGAAAGAGGTGGCCCCTTAATTGTGACTGATGGCATCTTATTTTAGTTTTCAGGAATAAACAACTTGGTGTGGGATTAGGGAGTCTGCAACTGGCTGTGTGTCAGGGTGCGTCAGGGTGGTGCCTGGTCTGGAGGTGGGAGGGAGGAGGGGAAAATGAGTCTTTCTAAAGGAGTAGAAAGAGGGCAAGCAGGAGAGGAGATTCCAGATGGGCCTGCTGCTCCCAAAGAGTGGAAACCCCACTGCCAGCCTTCCACACATGTGTGGCAGGTTGGGTGACCCAGAGCTGCAGTACTGGTTCCCTGGTTGCCTGGGGCTCCAGTGTGTTCTGGGCAGGGGGATGGAGAGACCTGCCCAGGGGACTACTAGCCTTGTTTGGGAGGTGTTTCCTGCTGTGGCCTGTGCAGGCAGTTTCCTCTGATGGAGCTGGTGTTTGGTGGAAGCTGTGGCCGTGTGCTGTGTCGCACTTTGTTTTGGAAAAATCCAAGTGGTGGGCAGGAAGGGGGGGAGGAAGGGGTGTGGCTGCAGGGGCCTGTGTGGGGGCCCTCAACCCCAGGAGATGCAGGAATGAAGGGCTGGGCTCTGGCTGCCTGGCCCGACCCCTGGTATTCACTGGCAGACCCACCTCTCAGCTGGGACCCTGGGGACCTAGGTTCAGGAAACAATTTTTTTCTTTTCCTCTGTCCAGAGGTGTTTTGTTTGCTCCATGGACCTGAAAGGAAGGCAGCCCCAGGCTTCAGACCTGAGCTACCCAGGAATGTCTGAGTTATGGTTGGCTCCTGCCTGCAGGGAGAACCAAGGCAAAAAGAGAGTTGGTGCCCACAGCAGGAAGGATGAGGGTTAGATATGAGGGGGAACATCCTGACAGTGAGGAAGGATGTTGTTTTTGGGGAGGCTGTGGAATCCTCTTTCACGGAGGCCTTACTGCGAAGGAGAGACATGTTTGGGAGATGAGGATAAGGGAGACTTCTGTTTGGTGCTCAGGGAGTTGGATCAAAAGTTCTATTATTGGTCTTGGGAGGAGTTAGTAGGAAGTTAAGAGTTTTGAGATTCCCTAGAGGGGAAAAGAATGGGATTACAGGCAGGCAGAGAATTTATTTTCCTTTTTAAAATAAACCTTCCCCAGGGACTCCTAGTGAGGCAGGTAAGAGATTTCTGAGCCCTCTGTTGTTGTGCTAAGCCACTGTGCCTATCAGCACGTGGATTGATAGTTACAGAAAGAGGGCTTCTCCACTTCTCCTCCTTTTGAGCCCAGAGCCTAGAACGAAGCCTCAGGGAGTGTTTAAGCACTGAGGGGATGTCCGCCATGGGAGGGGCACAGAGCTGACTCGAGGCCTCAGCTTAGGCTGCTGTCTCATAGGCAGTCACCAGGAGGGGTGTGTTTGCTCCTGGCTGCCCCTTTACTGTTCTCCTGTACTCACCATGCACCCCTAGTCTCCGTGAAAGCCTGCTTTCTGCTGGCGAAGGGTCATGTGTCCCCAAACCTTGCAGAAAACAGGAAGCCCTGTTGGTAGGAGGGCAGCCCAGCCCTGTGATTCATCAGGGGCTGACAGTCCAGCTGTTTGGTCCCTATCCCCTGCCCAGGGCAGTCTCTTCTTTGCTTCTCTACATTAGCCACTCTGTTGCAGAGACTGCTTGAACCTTTCTTATCACCTTTGGAGGCAGCAGGGCCAGACTCTGTTTGGGCCAAGTATTTATCGTCCAGGCGGGAGTTAGGAATGTGGAGTGTTAATAACCTTGGCCAGAGGGTGGTGGGGAACTAGACTGGGAGCCTGGTCTCTGGGTCCTCTGCATCCTTTGCTCTGTGCCTTCAGAGGCTTCCAGTTCCTTTCCCAGTCCTGGCTCAAATGGTCCATTGTCTTCCTTCAGCTCTTTGGTTGTGCCTGGCCCTGATCTTGGCTGCACAGTAAGCTTTGGCTAAGTTGTGGCTTCCAGTTGTTCGAAGCAGCTGTGGTGGCTTCCTTCAAGAGTGGCTGTGGATCCAGAGCAGATGAAACCCTAGGGGCTATTTATAGCAGGGTGGCCCTGGGGCCTGGAGCAGGGCCCAGCGCCTGAGGAAAGTCACGGCCTCCTCATCAGAGACCAGTGCAGAGGGATGGATGAAGTGTTGGTTTTCTGTGTGCTTTGGGGTGGGGAGTTTTGGAACAGCCTGGTTTAGGGTTTTGACAACCAAACAACACCCCCCCCCAACTCATCCCCGCCTTCCCTGCCCTAGTCTGACTCATACAACCCTGAGTCCTAGGGCCAGAAATGCTGAGAGACTGAAAATCATCCCTCCAACAGCGCTGTATGGCTCCTCCTTCCGCTGTGAGCCAAGAGCCCAGCTCTGAGCAGCCCCACAGTGGCAGGGTGGCCAGCCCACCCATAGCCAGGGCTCTATACTCCATGGGCAGCTGGACCTCAGAGTCCACAACTCAGAGTATTGGGAGCAATATCCTCCGCTTGTACTCTGTGGCCAAGCCTAGGGCAGGGTTCGAATCCTGCTCTATCATCAACCTCCCAGGGATTCAAGGGTGAGTCACCATGTGTCTTTGTCCTTGTAGACTGTGGTCTTGTTGCCTCCAAGGGGTAGCTGCCATTTGGTGGCCAGGAATGGTGGCTCGGTGGAGCCCAGGAATTCAGAGCTGGGGCGCCCAATTCTGCTGGCTTGGAGTGGGTATTGGCTGCTGAGGGAGAGGAAAGCAGGTCTTTTTTTTTTTTTTCCCCATGAGGATGGGTGGTTGTTCCTTCCCCTTTCAGGAACTTTTCTTTCAGTTCTTAATGAGAGAGTGACAGCTAAAGTGTCAGCTGCCATTGAGCAAATGCCAGGCACTGAGTGAAGAGACTC